TTTTTTATTCACTTTATTCAATTCAGCATGTTATCTAAGAACTATTGAATAATGTCCATTAGACAATGGTAAAAATGATTCTAAATCTTATGGTAGTATATTCAAAACAGCCAAAGCATCACATTTATTTATTATTTTTGTAACAATCTCACAATCTTATATTGTTATTGATTTAAATATATCTAATTAATGTTCATACAATCCTTCACAATTTGATTATGCACTACTCTTTTTATATGAATTTATTCTTCCTCTTTTAATACAACTATAATCATTTATATGATTCTCAATAGGTTTGCATAACAACATCTAACCATCCATTAATGGGAATGGATGCAAGATTAATGCATATTGATTTCTAAATTGGTGTACATATAATTCTGAGATATCAATTTAGTCTGGTTTTTCTTGATTGTTATTGAGAATAGTTTGAATATCTTCTTAGAGATCGAGAACAGCTCCATCTCCAATTGATTAGACTTGATCCAATTCTTATTATTCAATAGTATTAACATTTATATCTTGTTATTATTCAAGAGGTTCTTGATCAATTTATTAAGCATCTTAATTTATATCATTTTTGATAAGATCTTGTTCACCATCTTCATTTGGTTATTCTACAATAGGTTACGTTTAGATGGTTGCTTTTGGAGAAGAATTGGTATCATTTAATTCATTAGTGTCTTTTCTGATATCAGGTTAAATGATACCTAAATGATATTAATAATATTACTATTTTTATGAGATTATTCTCTTTCTCTTTGTTATGCCAATTCCTATAGTTATTATTGAAGTTATTCTTATTCTAAGGTAAGAAATCTGGCAGTTTCACTAAACCATAATATTTGTTTGATGATTAATTTACCATCTTCTTTGATTTCAGCATCAACATAGTTAGATTCTGATATGGATTCTTTATTTTCTTCGACATAGTGAGATTCTTACAATTTTTTGATTGGTCTCAATCTGTCATCAAATTTATATAAAAACTAGAATAGAAGAGAGGAGTAACCTTCATTCCATTTCTGAAACTAGAAGCATAAATGCTATCAGTTGATAAATTGCGCTTAACTTCAGTACGTATGAGATTATTGAGTGAATCATACCAAGTTTTAAGTTTTTCTTTAACTCCAGTCTTAAATGAAGATTTGAATACACCATCTGTAGGTTATACAATATTATTAGAGTAAATAACAAGCATATGTTATTCAATTTTTTCTATTAAAGTTTTTTTACCTTTTTGTAATTTAACTTTGAAATCTAATTCTTATTTAGCTATTTTCTTATTAACATCTGGAGTAATAGGTCCTTATCTTAACTTAGGATCAGAGAAACCAAATCTAGTTTCTGCTAATGCGATAAATGCCTAAATAAATAAATAATATAATTACATTTCTATCTCCAATAAGACATCCATCCATTGTATATATAATAGGATTACTCTTTTATTTAAATCCATAAATTCTACAAATTTCATCTGCATATTATTCCCATTAAGTTAGATCTTTCAACACTATTTTGAATGATATTTCTGGATAGTATTGTCTAATTAGATTAGCCATATTTTCACACTATTTAGTTATGTAAACAATAGAAGTACTTCTGCTGTATCAACTTTATCAGAACTTCCGGCTATTATATACGAACTCATAATAATAATTAATTAATTATCTTTTATTTGTATTGTACTATAATTAATGAATCTAAATCAACGATTGGTTTTAGCAACTTTCTCTAATTCATCTCTCTTTTTAATTGTATATGACTTTTATCCATCCTCATTAGCTGCTGCTATCAATTCATCAGCTAAGGCTTCAGCTATTGTTTTCATCTTCTTAAATACAGATTCTCTAACACCTTTAGCTAAATTATGAACAGCCTTTTTATTTTTATTAAAATATTATATATACTTCATTAACTCTTCTAATTGGAGCTACATCAACTGCTTATTATTTAGCAACACCACCTGTTCCTACTTTTGTAAAATCTTCTCTTGCTCCACCTCTTTATACTGCCAATGACAATACTGCAAGTGGATTTTTACCTGTCAATAAATGTACTATTTCAAATGCATGTCTTATTATTGCCACAGCCTTTACTTTCTTACCTGTATTTCTGCCATGAAACATTAATGCACCAGCTAATCTCTCTACTATTGGACATTAAGCCTTTCTAAACTTCTTTCTTTGATATCTATAAACATTTATTTCAATCTCTATACCTTCCAGCTGTGTGAGGCACAAATACTCGAGATTTTGATGTTTGAACTGCTATATAATCTTTGAAGCATTAATCTGTTACTTAAACTTCATCATAATCCCATTTTCCAAATAATTTTGGTTGATTTGCAAATTTTACTGTAGCTACAGATTCTTATTCTGCCATTATATTTTTTTTAAAAGGATATTTTATTTATTTAAAATTTCATATATTTTTCATGATTAAACAATCATTCAAAACCAAAGTAGCTATTATGTTATCATATATTGGAACTAACTATCATGGACTCCAATATTAAAATGATTATCCAACTATTGAATCGAATCTATTTGATGCACTCATCAAGACAGTAATTTTTTAATAAAACCAAGGAATTTAGTATCAGATTTGAATGCTGATAGTATTAAAAAGATTGGAATTACTAGAGGAGCTAGAACAGATCGTGGAGTTCATGCATTATGTAATATGGTGTCATTGAAATTATAAATTGATCAAAAATATTGTTAATCAATAACAAATAATAAATTAATTGACAAATGGAATATTAATTGGGATTATTTAATTCAAGATTTGAATTCACATTTACCTTAAGATATTCAAGTTAATGGTATCAAACATGTTACATAATCATTTAATGTTAAAAATTCAGCTGATTAGAGAATGTATAATTATATTTCACCATCATTTTCTACGTCTGACAAGATTCAAAACTTATGTAATTAATATATAGGAACTCACAATTTTCATAATTACACTTCTAAAATTGAATACAATGATCCAGCATCAAGGAGATTTATATAAGAGTTTAAGGTTCAACCTATCAAATTTCAAAATGATAACTATTTGAAGTTCACAATTCTAGGAAACAGTTTCATGTATCATTAAATTAGAAAAATGATTGGAACTATTTATTAAATTATACAAGAAAAAAAAGACATTGAATTTATTAAACAAACCTTCACATAATAAAAACTTTCCTTATATATAGCTCCATAACAAGGTTTATATTTAAGGGAAATCAAATTCTTTGGATATAACATGAAACCAGATATTCCATAAAAATTAGAGTACAATTAAAAATAATAGAAACTGATTGATGAATTTGAGGATAGGCTAATAAAATATATTTGTGAGTAATATAAAAGTGAAAACATCTTTGAGGAATGGTATAAAGAGATATAACAATATAAAGAATGATTCAAATATAATTATTTATATAATGATTATGGATTAACATCATTCTAAATCTTTTGGTGTTTTAAATTAGTTGAACTCTCGGCTTTTTAAACCAAAACCATTTACTTTTAGACTATAATTAGGTAAATAATGTCTTTATAATCTAAGGTCCATTACCTGCTGAAACAACGCGAGTTCATAAGTAAGCTCTTATCAGTCCTTCTACAAATGATAATGATTCAAAGTATTGCTGTATATAAATTAGTCATTCTCCTTCTCCATAATTAAGAGCTTTGAAGTCATATAGAGTTTCGACTGAAATATTAAATGAATCTCCAATCGATTAGATATAATTAATTATAAGAGAGAATGAGAACTTAAAAAAATCGTTAAACCAAAAATAAAAGATAATTGAAACCTTGACAAGATCTCAAAAGATTAAAACCCGATTAGATTTCAATGATTTGAACAAAAATTCAAGATCTCATAATTAACCTTAAAGCTAATAGGATGCTTTTAAACCTAAGTTAATTGAAGTTAAGTAATCTGTTTCTCAAAATTACAATAAACGTACAAAATTACCAAAAATTAATGACAGTCTCCCAAAAGATGATGATTGTAACTTCACTTTTGCTAATAATTTTTTTAAAAACATTGCCATTTGTCAAAATTAAAAAATCAATTTTAAATAAGTGTTTGCCTAATCTCATCTAAAGAAGAAATTTTTCACTTGATAATAAAATTTCTATAAAATAATTTAAATGAAATAAAATTATGATCATGTTATAACCTCTTAAGCAATATAAGATGTTATAAAAGGAGGTGATAAAGTTGAGGAAATTCGTATCTAATATGAAATCAAATGTGTTGGAATTGAAATTGAAACAACTTAAATGTATTATTTCATATTCAAAAGTAAAGAGGAAAGGAAATAGTTAAATATAAATTTACAATCACTAAAATTGATTTATCAACAGGTCTTAAATAATCTCATGATTTTTTCAGAAGGTATAATTAAATTCAAAAACTAATAGATATACACATTTCTTTTGGTTATAAAATGAATTGTAAAATAAATAAATTGGAAGAATAATTCCCAGTCTCCCTGAAAAATAAACTGTTTATGATAAAGATAAAAGGTATCCTTACCTTTTATAATGATNGAATGATTCAAATATAATTATTTATATAATGATTATGGATTAACATCATTCTAAATCTTTTGGTGTTTTAAATTAGTTGAACTCTCGGCTTTTTAAACCAAAACCATTTACTTTTAGACTATAATTAGGTAAATAATGTCTTTATAATCTAAGGTCCATTACCTGCTGAAACAACGCGAGTTCATAAGTAAGCTCTTATCAGTCCTTCTACAAATGATAATGATTCAAAGTATTGCTGTATATAAATTAGTCATTCTCCTTCTCCATAATTAAGAGCTTTGAAGTCATATAGAGTTTCGACTGAAATATTAAATGAATCTCCAATCGATTAGATATAATTAATTATAAGAGAGAATGAGAACTTAAAAAAATCGTTAAACCAAAAATAAAAGATAATTGAAACCTTGACAAGATCTCAAAAGATTAAAACCCGATTAGATTTCAATGATTTGAACAAAAATTCAAGATCTCATAATTAACCTTAAAGCTAATAGGATGCTTTTAAACCTAAGTTAATTGAAGTTAAGTAATCTGTTTCTCAAAATTACAATAAACGTACAAAATTACCAAAAATTAATGACAGTCTCCCAAAAGATGATGATTGTAACTTCACTTTTGCTAATAATTTTTTTAAAAACATTGCCATTTGTCAAAATTAAAAAATCAATTTTAAATAAGTGTTTGCCTAATCTCATCTAAAGAAGAAATTTTTCACTTGATAATAAAATTTCTATAAAATAATTTAAATGAAATAAAATTATGATCATGTTATAACCTCTTAAGCAATATAAGATGTTATAAAAGGAGGTGATAAAGTTGAGGAAATTCGTATCTAATATGAAATCAAATGTGTTGGAATTGAAATTGAAACAACTTAAATGTATTATTTCATATTCAAAAGTAAAGAGGAAAGGAAATAGTTAAATATAAATTTACAATCACTAAAATTGATTTATCAACAGGTCTTAAATAATCTCATGATTTTTTCAGAAGGTATAATTAAATTCAAAAACTAATAGATATACACATTTCTTTTGGTTATAAAATGAATTGTAAAATAAATAAATTGGAAGAATAATTCCCAGTCTCCCTGAAAAATAAACTGTTTATGATAAAGATAAAAGGTATCCTTACCTTTTATAATGATATAGAAAATTAGAATTTGTTTATTTTATGTAAAAAGTATTAAGTCATAAGAAATTGTAATCTATGGATTGTATAGAAAGATTTTTTAGTAAAGAACTTAGTGTAACAAATTAATTAAATAAACTTTAGGAATATGATAATTTTGAACATTATGTTGATAGTATGAAAGAATCTTAATCAATGATAAATAAGTTTATAAATACAGGGATATAATTTAAAAATATGTTTACAAAAGTGTACAATTATAATTCAGTATAAATAATACCTAGAATTCCTGATGAAAATGATAAATAATTTGAAGAGTGTAAATTATAAATTCTATTATTAAAAAGTTAAGAAAGATTTAGAATTAAATAAATTGAGTACTGAAATGATAACATAAGATCTTTAGAAGATTGTATAGAAATTGCAAATATAAGCTAGATCATTATAAAATAGTTGTGACTTATTCAGTAATGTTTATGTATAATAGTAGTGAATGAATGTTAAGGGATAAAGGAATTTATAACATTAAAAACTATAATAAAAATTTATGAAACTTATGAAATAAAATTACGATAAAAATATATTTACAGAATGGAAGCAAGTATTAAAGATTATGATTAAGCAATTAAATTAATAATATTAAATAGAGACTTAAAAGATTAAATAAATAAAGATACTCAATTAATTAATAATCCAAATTACCGATCTTAAATAGATGAACTGAAAATGTAAATCAGTAGTAACAGATAGAAAGTAGAATAATTAAATTTTAATTTTCTTGATGATATAAATTTATTTAAAGAGTAATAAATTGAATGTTTGAAAGAAGTTCAACATTAATTTTATTTAGATTTATAGGAATGTTATGAATCAATAAAATAATAGAAAATTGATTAGTGAAATCTATAATAATTAAATATTTTGTTTTTAGATAAATATTTTATAATAAAATTAAGTTATTGATATATTTTGAATAGAATGTCTACAAAAAATTTAGAGTAATATGAATAAGAAGAAGAGTAGTAAGAAGAAGAAGAAGAGAATGAAGTAATTTAATAAAATGGTTTAAAGGAATTATATGAAGATTAAGGTATTTTTGAATGAGTGGTATAGATTAGAATAATTCATGCAATAAATAAATTAACTTAATGAATAAGGAATTCTAAAAATAAAATTATAAAAATATTAAGAAGCAATGAAATTACTTTAATAATCTGAATAAATGTTAGAAGTAAAATAGTTAAATAATATAATACTAGTATGCAACAAGTTGTGGTAAACAAATTGATAAAGATTTGATAATAGTTATACTTTATAATTAAGCATGTACTTATTAATGGTATATATAAATTATGCAATATATTAAAAAGTTAATGGATTTTAGATAAATGTTCAAAATATTTGACTGGAGTAATTTATAATTTGGATGAGGGTAGGAAAGAAGAAGATATAAATGAGAATACAATAATATAAGAATAAGAAAGTGATGCAACATAAGTAAAAAAGAAATCTTTTCTTGCAAGAGCTTCTTTGTAATAGACTGCTATACTAAGTTAATTAGGAAAGTAAGATAAAATGAAATAATTAGACATAAATTAGCATTATAATCAGCTAGAAAAGCAGCAGAAACTATGAGAGAAGTATTTAAATTAGCATCATAATTTTGTAAAGATTGGTTGAATAAAAATGGATCTTTAGAATCTGCTATTATTACAAATAATTCTAGTTTGAATAATAAATCTAAATAAAAAAATAATAAATTCTAAATGAAAGATGAAGTTGAATTTAGTCGATTAGTAATCAATTCTGGTAAGGATATCTTACTAGATATGTTAAAATATTAAGATTTAGATAATATGTCAAATGATGAATAATTGATTTTAAGAGAAGCTAAAAAATCATTATATTTTTGGAAAAACAATCCATAAAATAATGAAAAACATATTCGTCAAGAATTAAAATTATCATATAGAGAGGAGGATTATCGTTCAATCTTAGGAGTTTAAAATGTTGAAGAATGGATCTAATCATTTAATGTTAGTTTTATTATGCATATGACACCACTTATTTATAATGAGTTTACTTAATAAGGTGAAATGTTATATGAGATTTCTAAAAGATTATTATTAGAAAAAATTATTTAATTATCTATCTCATACTTTACTATTGCAACTGAATTAAGATTTATAGAATTAGAAAAAGCAAAATAATAAGGAATTAAAGAAATTAATACTGAAGAATTTAAATTAAGTGAGTTATATCATCTTAAATCTGTAGAAATTGCATGTAAACATATTACTTGTTCTTCTTAATATATTAATCATCTCATTACAACCTATCATAAACATTATAATTCTAATTTAGATACTATTTAAGAAGAATCAATTACTTCCATGGTATCAGAAATTAATTATAAAGAATTAAAATTATAAAAACTTAAATTAATTTAAATTTAAACATAAAGAGAAAATTAAGTACTTATATAGAATATTACTGAACAGAAATTAAATGATTCTTCTCCTACTGGAAATTTAATCAATTCATTTTAAAGTTAACAATCATTTAAAAATAATAGAAATATTATAGATAATCTTAAGATTTAGGCCAATATGCTTGATTAAATAATTCGTAATAAACGACGATTATAAAAACCTTCTAATATTTCTCCAAAATAAAAATTTTAATTTTTAAATGCTTCAACAAATAATAGTTGTGAAAGAGTTAATGAAAAGATGTTAAAAATTCAAGAAGGTCTCCCTATTCAATTATAACCATATAAATCAGCAAAAACATCCTTTAATTATTTATTTAAATAAACACCTCTAACATAATAAAATAATAAAGGATTAATGAAATCATTCTTACTTGAAAGTTCTAGAGTAGATAGATAAAATTTTATAAAAAATCACTCTCCTAAAAAAGGAGAAAGATCTCCAGAATAATCTCCTGGTAAATCTTAAGTTAAATGTAAACCTCTGACTTCAATCCTTTAAAATAAAACTCCATAACCTATACATAAATCAGAAATTGAATCATGTATTTATATAATAATTATTATAATAGAATTTCCTATGAAAATGGAAACTTTGCAACAATTACTAAATGGAAAATCAAATTATAATTAAAAAAGAAAATGAACACAACTTATCATTCTTTTTAGTGTTTTTGTTTATAATTATTTATATTGAAATTATTTAGTTATTGTCATATCCATTAAAAGCCTCTTGAACTCTTACTAAATTTATCTTCTGTTAATTCTATAGTACTTCCAAAATAAGATTGTTAATGAATTAATTATTATTATTTTTAACTATTACTTCTAATTGTGTTCAATAAATTTATAACTCGATCTTAGTATTCATTTAAATTCTAATTTCTATATGATTTATCATTTGAGTTTAATGTTAATAATTATGGATTTGATTTCATTGATTTCTATGCAATTATTTACTCTAATATTGCAGAATATTTCATCATTTTTTAATTTAAATCTAACTCTTTTTTTATCAATAGGTCTTCCTTTTAAGATAATTAATTCTCTTTTTCCTTCAATTTCTTTTCTTTTTATATTAACTATACTTAAATATTATTATATAAGATACTTGTGTTTCTTATAATTATAATTTTGATTCCCATTAATTAAAATAGTCTGTATTAGAGTTATTATCATATACTTAAGATTTTTTATTAATCATAGATGGTTTAAGCAAATTTTCTACTTAATTCATAACTGAAAAAAATAATAATTAATCATCAAAATTTAAATTAATAAGATGTAGCTGTTGTCTAAAATACAGAATTCTTTATTTTTGGTGATTCAGTATGCGTTCTAAACGTATTGAATTTAAGCTTTTTATTCATCCTTTTTAATTCCTTTAATTTCTCATTTAATTAACTCTCATATTTAATAAATTATTACCTACTACATTTATGAAATATTAAATGCAGAAATTTCACCAGAACCACTTGTATTAAGATGTTTAGAAACATATTATTTAAGATCTTATTAGAAATTCGACTTATCTTTAACTTCTTCATTACTTATAGTATAAGCTTTAATTTATTCTTCTTATTCATTTGTATTCTTAATCTCAAACAAATAATTATTTTTATTGAAATTTGTAGCTTCTGATATTAAAACATCTTATTGACTAAAAGTTCTTCTTAAAGTTGGTGAGCGTTTAAGCAAATCCTAATAATCAATATTAGATTATTTTTAATCATTATCTTATTTAAAATCTTGTTTTTTGTTTAAATGTTTAAATAATTCATCTGAGTATTTCTCTTTTTATTTTAATTCTAAATTGCAAATAGGCTTAAAACATTTTAATTCTTCAATTACAGTTGAATTTCTTTTTTTTAAAAGAGGTAATATTTCAAAAAATCTTTATCCTTTATATTTTACATATGATTTAAGGTCATTTCTATTTTACTTATGTAATGCTCTTATACTTTTGATTGATTCTATTTTATTTTAACTTGCATGCATTTCATTTATTTCTTATATATATTAATTCATGAATTCTATTTTATCTTAATAATCAAATTATAATTCCTTTGTTTTAAAATGCTTATCTAATTAGTTTTCATAAAGTTAATCAATTTTTAGATCTTCCAAACTTCCTTTCCAATCTTAATGTGTTACTTCTTTTTTTTTATTTCCTATTATATCCGATTTTTTAGAATGGACTTTAACATACTTCTAATTTATTGCTTCTTCTGATTAACCATACCTAATTATTCTTTTCTGACTGAAAGATCTACATTATTTAATATCAGAACAGTTTTCTCTTAAATACAAATATGCAACAACTTTTTTCATTCTATTCTCATTACCATATTCTCCATCCATATTAGGACATTAATTAAAAAAAGGAACCTCATAATTAATTTATATACTTATATATTATTTCTATTATTGCTTTCAATTATGTTCCTCTTTATTTACTTTATCTTAGGTTTCATGATTAAATTAATAAAATTAATAACTTATTATAATACTTTTTTAGAATCATAATATTTAATCTAATTTATTATCTTCTCATATCATAAGCTAATAATTTTACAATTTCATTTTCTAATAATAATCATTAATAAATCTTCTAGTGCCTTTGCAAAAAAATCTTCACTTAAAATTTAATAAATTTAGAATTAAATATGATAATAAGACTTTCTAAAAATTTTAAAAATTGATTTAAAAAATAAAATATTTAACTCTTAGTGATTATAGTTATATATATTAATATTCAATAATTAAGTTCATCAATAACTAATATTTTCAATCTTCTATTTTTCTTTTCAAATAAATTATTTAATAAAGTTAATTTAATTTAGATAATATTTATGTTAAAAATGAAAGAGACATTTTTTAATTAAATGCAGCTAAATTAAATTAAAACCTTTTAAATTAGATTCTTCAGTTAAAACAAAACATAAGATTTATTTATTTGTACTAAATTTAACAGTTTTTTATTCGCTGTCAAAGTGTTTTATAGAAATACAAAAGAAATATTTTAGGTTTTAAAATATATTTTTAATAAAAATTATGGTTTTCTTATCCTATCACATATGATTTAACGTTATTATACAAAGTTATTGATTGATAATATTTCTAGATCAAAATTTAGTTACTCTAAGATTCTTAGTTACCTGAATAATTTGTTGATTTAAAATTAATAAATTCATTTAATGAAAGAAATGATACTTAAATCAAGAATATAATATGTAGTAGAGAATTGTAAAGATTAAGAAGTTGATAGAAGAATATAGTACAAATAAATGATTTTCATTAGTGTTTTTTTGTTTCCTAATAAATTTAAAAATAGAGAATAGTTTATAAATAATTATTAATCGAATCGACATATTTGATATAAGCATTAAAATAGTTCAAAGATTTTTAATTTTGAAACTTAAAAATAAATATAGAAACCTAAAATCAGATTTTAATATAAATTTATAAATAAGTAAAAATGAAAGACCCATAAGGTTTAAATTGTTAAGTTGAAGTAGAGCCAAGTATTTAAGAAATAAGATCAATAAAGATTTAGAAGAAGAAAAGATTAGTGATGAAATTTTCAACTGATTCAGAAAATGTAGAAAGTGATTAAAGCGTTGATAACTCATAAATTTATAGAAAATAATTCTTAGAAAGTTATTCTATGTTTACAACTAAAAATTCAATAACTGGGAAATTTAAAAGCTTGAATTTAAAAAGCAATTCCGTAATATATAAAACAAAGCTTACTTCAATTAGAAAGATAAAATCATTCAGATTAGATGATGAAATAGATAGTTAAGATGAGGAAGAAAGTTTGCCTAAGGAATTAATGAATGTCAATTTTTAGTTTAGATAAGATGCTATAATTAATGTTTAAAAAATCCTTTAATAAAAGAAATGATAATATTATTGATTTTTAGCTTAATTACTTTTATTAAAACCAATACATTAAAATTTACAATTTATAATACTTTATATAATATTGAATCAACATAATGTTAGTTAACAATCTTTATTCGATTGAATCTATGAAAGTTCTACATTTTAAATCAACTTTAAAGTAAAATAATTATATTTTTTTTAAATTGAATATTATATTTAAGCTTATAAGGCCATTAAACTTATAATTTACAGTCAGAATTGAGTAGCTTTTATTTTTTTAATTCTATTAAATAGAATATCATGTTCATTTTTTAATAATATACTCTATATACAATAAAAATTAATATTTATTTAGTTTTGATTACTCTAAAACAATATTAAAGTATTTATGGTTGAAATTAACTTATATATGAATCTATTAATAATAATGTTAACAATTTTTCAAGTATCCATTATGATTAAAAACTTGAAATGCTTTTTACAGTTTAGTTCATATTAATGATTGTATCAAATGGTATAGATTTAATAATATTGTTTTAAATAAATTAATAGTTTACATCATTTGACAATTTGAAATCCTTTTGATAATTTGAGATAATCAAAAAATATTAGCCAATATTGTTATTTTTAAAGAAATTCTATTTTATAAATAAAGTCTTATTATTGTATTTAGGTTTATAGAAAAAGTGCATATATATTGATAAAATCAAAATGTAAAGTAATTCATTTTTGCTTGAGACTTTTCTTAAATTTTTAGATCATTTATTTCTTTTGTAATTATAAAAAGAAAGCTTTAAAGATTTAAATTTATCTATGTTCATCGGCAATTTTTATATTTTTTCTTTCAGCATGTTATTCTAAAGCATTAAGTGTTTTCATCAAAATTTTACGTTGATAGAAGATTTAAGCTAATTGATCCAAATCATCTTCTATTCTAGATATTTATTTAATAATTGTTTCAGATTTTCTATTAGGAATAGCATAATCATTTGGTAAAGTTGGTCTAAAATGCTAGACTGATGGACGATTGACAATTATTGGTACTCTTTCTTATTTAACAGATTTTGTAAATATTTCAGTTTAATACTAATGAACATCATCTTATTCATTTAGAATTTATTTTTAAAGTTAAAGATTTCTTTAAAAAGCTTTATATTAGGAATCCTCTGTAATAGGTTTTTATTGAGTCTAGATACAATAATTACTTTTTATACTAAGTAGTCAGCTATTGGAACATTTAAAAAGTTTAGAGTTTTCTCTCTTAATACACTTTTATGATTTAATAGATTGGCAGACGACATAAAATTAACAGATAAGATAATAAATAAATCTGTTATAAACTTATTTTTATAAAACACATATACTTATAATTAAATCAAAATAGTTATTGATTAATTCCCTTTTCCTCTAAAACTATTGAAGGATTCATTTAATGAGGAATTTATGACTGTAATATTTGTAATAATTTTAGAACCATTGTTAAACTTTTGAATTTTAAACATGTTTTTCAAACATTTATTGACTAGTTATCTTTTTACAAAAATAATTAAGAGTTGTTTATCAATAGCTTATTATTGTTATCGAATTTTAAATTTGATTATTATTTTGAAAGATTTAATTTCTTAAAATTTTTCTTCATCTTTTTTTGGTTATTATTCTTCATCAGAAATTCTATTAATTAAAGTTTATTTTGGAGTAATATAAATGAAAATGGAGATCTATAGTTTAAATTTAAAATCATTATTGTTTAGTAATCAAATAATAATCCAAAAAAATTATAAATCATGAATCCATATATTTAATGTTAAATGATTATTAACATTAAATTTATTTTGTTTTCATCCTATAAAAAATTGTTGATTTATTATTAATATATTATTTATTTCTCTATTAATCCATTTTATTCCATCATATTAATATTTGTAGTCATACTATTAGATTACATAATTAAAACAACTACTTCAATTATTATAGCTGGACAGGAGTAAAGCAATAGAAATCCTCTGATAAGAACAATAATTTGCATGTTTTACATTTCCTAGAGCATAGTAAATTAAAAGAAAGTAAAAAAGTAATACATATTTAAAATTAAGGTATACTTCCAAATAATATAGAGTACAATTTAAGTAATGATAAACAATTAATTAATACTATATCATACTTTTTAATCCATATTCAAATATGCCATAATACTTATAAATAGATTGAACAAAATAAAATATAATTGCGCATTAATCGTATTACATTTTAATCTATAATATCTATTTAAGCATTTTAATCATTTAATAGTTTCATGCTTCATTTCTTTATAATAATAATTGTTTTATTTTTATTTATCTTAAATATTGTTCTTTGAATAATAATAATATATGATAGTTTTAGACAGTTGCCATCTTAATTTTATAAATGATTGCAATTATAGTTAATCTTATCACTCAATTAGTAAAGTATTTTAGACTAATAATTACAGTGTAATTTTATTATTATAAAAATGAAAAAAAGGGATTAATTAAGCCATTTCTTAAGATTAGTACAATACTGCCTACCTAATTTAAGACTACGAAATTAATTCATAATAATTGTAGCCATTTTAGTTTTGCTAATTGTTGCAATATTTGCTATATGGAATTTGGCACATTAGTATATTTTAAATAGCTTATTTTTGGATGAGTCTGATAAATTATATGATACTCAATCTAAAATACGAATATCATTTATGTTAAATAACTATAAATCTTATTTCTATTAAATATTTGCTTTAAGTAATGAATCATATTTTTAATAATAGATGGGAATGCCTTAATTTCATTTCATAGATTGTATTTAAGAACCAAAAATGAAGTAGTTAAAAGCTCTCTTTAAATTGATAAAAGATTTTAAATGGATTATGAAGGAATAATTTAAATTCCTGATCCTCTTAGAATTCTGAATGAATATGGATCAAATATATCAAACTCATTTATGTGCTATTCCAATACTTCTGCATATAATTCACCTTTGACTGAAGAATAAAGGATAGGTATTAAACTTTAAGAGCAGATCTAAGCTTATGGATAAATGTTATACTAAGGATCATTAATTATGTAATCAAATATATATTCTTATATTGAACTATAAAAGATAAATAATTTATATCCTTGTGTTAATAGAGGAAAAGGTANAAGTAAAAAAGTAATACATATTTAAAATTAAGGTATACTTCCAAATAATATAGAGTACAATTTAAGTAATGATAAACAATTAATTAATACTATATCATACTTTTTAATCCATATTCAAATATGCCATAATACTTATAAATAGATTGAACAAAATAAAATATAATTGCGCATTAATCGTATTACATTTTAATCTATAATATCTATTTAAGCATTTTAATCATTTAATAGTTTCATGCTTCATTTCTTTATAATAATAATTGTTTTATTTTTATTTATCTTAAATATTGTTCTTTGAATAATAATAATATATGATAGTTTTAGACAGTTGCCATCTTAATTTTATAAATGATTGCAATTATAGTTAATCTTATCACTCAATTAGTAAAGTATTTTAGACTAATAATTACAGTGTAATTTTATTATTATAAAAATGAAAAAAAGGGATTAATTAAGCCATTTCTTAAGATTAGTACAATACTGCCTACCTAATTTAAGACTACGAAATTAATTCATAATAATTGTAGCCATTTTAGTTTTGCTAATTGTTGCAATATTTGCTATATGGAATTTGGCACATTAGTATATTTTAAATAGCTTATTTTTGGATGAGTCTGATAAATTATATGATACTCAATCTAAAATACGAATATCATTTATGTTAAATAACTATAAATCTTATTTCTATTAAATATTTGCTTTAAGTAATGAATCATATTTTTAATAATAGATGGGAATGCCTTAATTTCATTTCATAGATTGTATTTAAGAACCAAAAATGAAGTAGTTAAAAGCTCTCTTTAAATTGATAAAAGATTTTAAATGGATTATGAAGGAATAATTTAAATTCCTGATCCTCTTAGAATTCTGAATGAATATGGATCAAATATATCAAACTCATTTATGTGCTATTCCAATACTTCTGCATATAATTCACCTTTGACTGAAGAATAAAGGATAGGTATTAAACTTTAAGAGCAGATCTAAGCTTATGGATAAATGTTATACTAAGGATCATTAATTATGTAATCAAATATATATTCTTATATTGAACTATAAAAGATAAATAATTTATATCCTTGTGTTAATAGAGGAAAAGGTATTTATACTTATGCTCCAGAAAAGAGAGATTGGTACAAAACTTTAAAGCAAACATATTATAATACTACTTAGTATGATTAATATACATTAAAATTTACTGCTCCTTATTTATGTAATTAGTAATTGATAATAAAAAAGTATTTACATATTAAACAATTGGATTGTCAATGACTTTACCGATAGTGGATGAAAATGTAAAATTTGTTGGTGGAGTTTCTTCAACGTTTTTAGGCTCTAAATTAGTTTAATATTTATCAAATAACGAAACAGGATTTTAATTAATTTATTTAGTGTCAGAAGATGGTACTTTAATTATGCATCCTTTTACAGTTCAAGCTAATTATCTACCACTTTTTATATATAATGAATCTTACACTGGATTTAATTTAACAGATTGGAATGAAATTAAAAATAAAGATGGGATTTCATCATGTCTAACCTTCAATCTTAGAACTACATTAAAATGTAGATTTAATTCAGTTACTTAATAAGAAATGATAGTTAGTATTGAAAATTTAACCGAATATAAAATGTATCTAATTATGTAATTAATAATATAAAATACATTAAATAGGTTGCTGAGTAGTGAAGAATATGTTACCTTTACAAGCTCTTTTCATACAAAATTACAGTAAAATTTAATTAACGAAACTCTTGTTTAAATATCTTCCTTAATAATTTTATTTTTTGTGTTATGTTTAATTATCATAATAGTTACTTAAATTTTATTTTAGCCAGTAGAGATTATAGTTAATACAACTTAATAATGGCTGCATAAAAGAAAGTAACATGTTTAATTAATTATTCCAAAAATGACTTAGTTAGTTGTAAGTAATGAAATTTAAATGCTCGAAAAAGCTTGTTAATATATGTATAAAATATTAGAAATGACTTCTTTCCATAAATCAGAGCAATGTGAAGCAATTGAAAAAATATAATATCCAACACATTAAATTTAAATTACACCTTTTATTGAATATTATCGATTTATAGAGAGCATGAATGGAAAAAAATAGAATAAAATCAAAAATTATGTTCAAGATAAGTTAAAAATATAAAGAATTTTCAATTCTATTTTAAAAACGAAAATAAATATCAAATCATAAATTTGAAATTTTTTCATGAGTATTATATAAAATATTCAGTATAATTGACTATTATATTCTAAGAAATTATTCATTAAATCTATGCATATATATCGATCAAATAGAAATTCAAATCTTTTTTTATTTAAGTAATAAAAACCTATTTAAATAATTTTAATTTAGAGGCCAATTATAATTGGATGGTTGTTAGGATATTTTGCTTCATATTTCCATAACATAAAAGACAATAATAAATACTTTAAATGGCATAAATACTTATAAGTAAGTCTAATATTTCAGATGAATTTCCCATCTTCTAAGATATATATCCAATTAATATATTCAATGAATTATTTGGAATTTTTTATATCTATCTGTTATTTATGTTAATATTATTTAAGTTATATATAAATGTATTTATTTATTAATGTGACTTTTTTAGTTAATTAAATCTGATTCATTAGAAAATATTTAGTTTCATTTTGGAATTAAAGAAGCTTATTCAGAAATTAGGGTATTAACAAAATATTGAGTTAAAAATTTATCATCTTTTATTTATTTTTTGAGTTGACAAAATGGCCTGATGATATTTTTTTAAAATAGCAGAATAATTTTTAGATGATTAATTAATTTTGATGGAATAAGAAATGGAAGTTATTCTAAAGAATTAGATATATCTTGATTGCTTTAAATAATGATTAAAAAGGATATTTATTTCATCTAAATTCAATTAAGAAGAACTTAAATGTATTCTCATTTAGGTATACATAAAATTCAGATAATTTAACAAGCTATTCAATTATTAACTTCATATTTTATTAGTTTTATATTTACTATCCTATGAATAATAAATCATTTCAAAAAAAGTTTGTATTGAGTTTTTTTGAAATTAACATTTTAAATTAAGATTTTTTTTTAGTTCTATTGAAAATTATTTAGTAATAAATCTAAATTGAAATGATGAATAAATAGAATTAAAATAAGGAGATTAAGACAATAAGATTAAGAATTGAAACTTGATTATATATTGTAATTTAATATTTTTTGATTTTTGAATATATTTGAATCATATTTCTAGTTTTTGGATATAACTCTTAATTCCATCATTAAATCTGCTAGTGAAAATTTCGATACATTCATTGATAATTCCAAGTTCAGTGTTTCTAATGATAATGAGTAATGAATTACTTTTATTATCTAACATTTTGGTGAGCTTTCAATTCATCAGCGCAAGTTTTTTACCAGTCAGACATTTCTTAGTTTTTAACATCTAATAATTATGCTTTAGATTCAATATCGTTTTTTAATTCTAATAAATTTTATCTTAATTTTTCTGCATCAGCAGCTAAATCAGCCAAACTTGTTTCAAGAGTTTTACTTTCTAATTCATATCTAGCTTTTTATAAGAGATAAAGTTCTTATTTAGCTTTTTCTCCTTGATGTCCAACTTTTGACAAATGTTCCAAAGACTTAAAATAATGATTAAATTGATTACTTCAATTAATTCATCAATAATTTAAACAACTTTAGATACATTTTCATCTCCAGAAGCAGCTACTAACATTTTAACAAGTCCGTTATAAGGTGTTTATTTATTATGTAAAGATTCTAAATGTTTATGTAATTTAGCTTTGACATCAGAAACTTAAATGAAAGAACTATTAAGTTAAGAAACAATGGATTTAGCTTTCTTTAATCCTTAAATAAATTCAACAGATTCTGTTTATTTCGCTTCAAATGCTTTCTAAATAAATAAATATATAATTTAATTACTCTTGCTTCATCTCTAGCTTTATCTAAGGCGGATAATCTGTCTTAAATTCTTTAATCTTATCCTACTTTATCTTTTAGTTATGAATTCTTAGCAATTAATTCTTCTTATCTAAGTGGGAATGATTGCTCATCTGTTGCTTTTTTGGCTGAAGCAGAATCAATAACTTCTTAAATTTCATCAAATCGAAGATTGCAGAGTTCTTATTAATGTCTTAAATTTTATGTATTTTCTTCTAAGTCACTTTATGCATTAGTTTACATGGATCTCAATTAATGAACAATTCCATCGATATTTGAGCTATGTAATTATTATTACAGGGATATTACTCTTCACTTGAAAGGGATATTTGCATTGTTGCTATGATTGTTTTTCCAAATTCATATTGGGACAATTCAGAAAGTAATTCATAATCATTTGCTGTGACTATCAAAGCTAGGCATACTAAGACTATAAACTTCATATTTTTAATAAATATTAAAAACGATAATTTATGATTAGATAATAAAAAATAGAAAAAATAGAAAAAATATTTGTGCATGATTAAGAAGAAACCTGAATAATTCAATCTTATCAAACTTAGATGTTTTTGAAATCAGCACTGTTGACAACAGACAAAGCTTATTCACTGATTCCAAGTTCTCTGGTGAATTCATTCTTTAAGTTGGTATAGGTATCGGTTTCTTCAGCATAGGTGTTATTTTCTAATTCAAGTTCAGCAGTGTATTATTTTCTGTCTGCATCTCTTTAATCTCTGAATTCAGTCATTTAATCGATTTTTTCTAAAGATGATAATAATACAATAAATACCATTAGTGGCTGTTAAATCAACAGTGACTCTATTAATTTATCTTTAGAATTCAGCAAATTCAGCATCTAATTATTCAAGATATTCTTCATGATCTTCTTATGCTTAAGCTTCAGCAGCTGTTTAAGCATTGATTGAATCAACAATAGCATTTCTAAATTCATTAAGAGCATCAACAATTTAACCAATGATTCCTTAATCTGAAAAGTTTTAATTTGAAGCTAATGAAATAAGAGCTTTAATCATTGGTGCCATCTTAGATCTAGATTTGATCTTTGATTCAATATTCTTTAAAGAATTTTAGAATCTCTTGACTTATAATAACGATGGATTTGTAAGTGTTTAAAGAAGAGCAAGAGCATCATCAACTGCAGCAGTTGCATCATTTAATTCAGCAACTTAGAATTCAAAATCTTCATGTTCTTATTCTCTTACTAGAACTGCTTCATCATAATTCTATCTATTGGCTTCTTAGTTTTCTTAGATTTATTCAATTCTAACTTAGAGTTATTCTCTTCTTGGGAATAATAAATTATCTAAAGTGTCTTATGTATTGTTAACATCTAGACAAATTAATGTAAATAAAATTACCTATTACAGCGTCTTAGATATCTTATTCAAGGCTAACCACTAATGCATTGTGTTCATTTGTTCTTACTTAGAAATTGAATTCCAATTCTTCTAATTCATCTTCAAGATCGTTGATAAGCTCTTCAATAGCATCAATCAACTCTTAAACAGGTCCACCAGCCATTGAATGGAGTTCTACTAAGTGAAGTAAGGCATTTCCATATGTGCTCTTCTTGAGGTCTGTTGTTATTTTTGCAAGATTTCTCTCTTACACTCTAGCTGTGAAAGCTACTGCAATCAATGCTATCAGCAATATTGATTTCATAAGAAAATTATTGTAAATTATCAATACAAAAAACACATAGTTAAACAACAAAAACGACTAGTCTTCATTTATTTTATAAAACTCATTAAAAACGCTATTCTTGTTCTTCATTATTATATAAATATTATTCTTTTTTATAATTAATCTCTCTTTATCTATTTTATTAATACAAAAAACTTATTCTACTTCCCTTTATTCTTTATATTTTTCGTTATCTCTATTTTAACTTTATTTCTCTTTTTTTTTTTGTTTCTTCTTTTATTTTATTTCAAATCTAAAATTAGAATTAAATTAAACAGAAAATTATCTTATCTTTTTTTATTCTTTATTCTCTTTATTCTCTCTATACAATTACTTAATTTAAATCATTTTTATATCCATAATCTTTTTAAAAAATATAATCATATTATTCTTAATAGTCTATAAATATCTTGATGAAGAAATTCTATCAGATGATTTAATCTTATACAAATAACTTGTTTTAAATTAAGATTTCTAAAATTAAATAGAATCATGATAACTCATTTTATAAATTATATAATTCATGATATTAAATATTATTATTAAATGAACAAGACCTTTGAAAAATCTAATTAATGTTTAATCCTAAACCATGGTTATGTTTGATGATATATCACTTAATAATAAATGATTGGAAAAAGATAAGTTGGGGTTGTTATAGAATTCTCTATTAAAATTAGATTTAAGTTGTAAAGGTACATTTTATTGGAAATAGCAAAATAAATTCAGTTATTTTTGAATTAAAATCATTTATTAATTAGATCATGCCAATATTACGAAACTAAAAACCCATTTAAATATGACATTATATTTTTAAAATGGGCGCTTGACTTTAAGAAACCAATGTTAATACTTATTTACATACATTCTAGACTAAATCTAATTATACATGTGAGACTTTAAACCTGAATATATTTTAATAACATAAAATAAGCAATGAAATTAGCAGATTTTGGTTCTACTAATTCATAAGCCAAAAATGAATGAGATTTATTATATTTAAAGGACATACATAAAATACATATTAATAAAGGTTATAAATAAAATTAATATATTTGGAGTCCAAAGTTTTGTTATTTGAGATATAAGCAAGATATGATCTCCCTTTTTATAAAAATGAAATATTTATTAGATTCAATAATAATCAAACTTCAATATTATAAATCTAAAATCAATAAACGAGAGTGAACCAAAAAAATTAGATTAAATGAAAAAGGAAGAATAAATAAATTAAGAAAAAAGAGTTACAAACTTAAATAACAATCATAAATATATGAATAATAGAGTTTAAATAATTTTTTATACATATCCTTATTTTAATAACAATTAGGAACCGAAAATTTATTGTGAAACATGAGAAGGTTAATAATGGAAAATATCTTTATGAAAAGAATTTTAATAGGAGTTAAATTTACTAAAGAATTTAATATATGAATGTAACTTAAAATAAGATAGAATCAAAGAATTAAAAAAAGTAAAATTAGAATATATATGAATAAGATAGAAGATTGCAATAGATTTATTTAATATAATAAAAGTTCTTTATAATATTCAATCTGATTTTGGAATTACTTATTTTTTAGGAATTATTTTTTGTTTGAATTCTTATGAATTTTTCAATTCTTAATATTATTATTTTATTTTATTTTATCCATATGGATCAAAGAAGACAAAACTTATTGTTACAAAACATACTGTCAAAAACCCAACTAAGAGGACTGCTCCTAAGGGTGTTTTGAGTAAAATAAATAATAATTGAAATGAAAATTCAGGCCATTCCATTTTTTTTTAAGGTTATTTAACTTCTTCAATTTCAATTTCATGACCAAATCCTTCTCTTATTTTAAGTATGCTTTATTTTTCTTTTATTTCTTTTTCAATATTTTTAACTCTTTCTTCATTTTATTTTTTCATTTCTTCGTTAGTTCTTGGAGTATTTCTTTAGATCCATCTTTCTTAAAACTTTTCTTTATCTTCAAAATCTGTATCTATTAAAGGTCCTTTAAATAAAAATAAAGCTGCAATAGTCGCTTAATCTTGACTAGCACTAAATCCAATAACTAATTCATTTCTATTATTTAATGCTCCAATACATGGTTATTCTTAATAATAGACTCCTCCTCCATCTATTACAATTTCTAAATATTCTGTATGTGCAGTAAATGCTCCCACTAATTAGAAAATATCAATATTTTATAGAATTACCTTCTTCCCTAAAAATACACTAAAAACTCTTGTATTACTTTCTTCATAATGTAACTAGATAATTATTACTTTATACCTCAGCAAACTTTAAAACTAATACATACGTTTAGTTTTCAGGAATTTCATTTCCTAAAGGTATAGTATAAACAAAATTTTATCCTTGTCTCTAGGTAATATAAAGGGATTGATCATCTGTAAATTTAATTTTTCTATTCTCAGCTCTTTCATAATAATCGACTAATTCTGATGTACCAATAAAATGATGATCCTTCAATTTGTTATTTTTAGATTACCTTCATATACTTAATCCCAGACGATGTACGAGTTTCTAGGTAGCTTCCACAATCAATAGCATGAACTACTTTACGAGGAGCTATTAGTTTAGATGAAGATATCTAGAATAGCAAAAAAAAAATAATCATATAAATTTTTATAATTAATTTATTTATCAAATTTTAAATATTTCTTTTTTAAACATCTTAAATGCTTCATTTCTAAAATCTATTAAAGAGACTTTCTAAATTTTTTCGCAGTTTTCTTACTCAATTAACTGAAATAATATTTTACTGTTATCATTAATTAGATAATCAGAAAATCATCTTTATTATCCAAAGCCAATATATATGCTGCATATATTTAAAATATTCTTTATAGTAATCTTCTGTAAAATTCTCTGTTATTTCAATTTATCCATCAACAAATAATTTAGTATCTATTCCTTCATTTAAGTTTTTGTTATTTTGATTATTTTTATTCTTATTATAGAAATTAATCAATTAGAGATTTTCGTGTCATTATAAAGTTTATTTAGGAAACTGTTACCATTCTGTCTAAGGTTTCTTTTCCTAAAATAACTATACATTATAAATAAGCTAATGGTTGATAATATTACTAATAAATTTAATCATAATTTTGATAATCAGCTAACGCTTACATAAACTAGCATAATGTTTATTTCACTTAATATATGAGTTTCTAATCTTAAAGAGCTGCAAAACTTGTTTAATGGATTTATACAAGATTTGGATCTTAGCTTATTGTTATTTTTACGAGAATTTCCGTGATGGATGAAGGTAAAATAAGCTAATTTTTAATGTACTTTGATTGTATTTATTTTTATATATTAATTGGTACAAAAATTACGATGAATAATTCAATGAAATTATGGAGCAAATATGATAATTAAATTAAAATTCTTACTTTAGAGTAAGGTTAGATAATATTTTACATAAAGAAACAATAGTTTATAGAATTTGCTAATAATCTATAACATTCTCCACAGAATTAGTAAATCACATCAGTTTATTTGTATCTTTTTTGTTTAAACGAATTACAAAACAATTTTTAAATATTATCATGAGTTTTGTTATAAAAAAGCAATCTGGTAATTATTAATTTATGTTAATTCTAAGCAGATAATAAATAATAGAAAACTAAGATTAAGTATTATAAATTTATGAAGCTCAGAATAAAATGATAATAAAAATAATAGTTTCATATGAATGATTGCATAAAATTTAAATTATATATAAAAGTAATTGAAAAATTTGATTAAATATTTTTTTAAGTATTTAATTGGATATGTCAACACCAAGTGTAAAACCAAAACTAGTATAAACTTTTGGAAGAAAGAAGAATGCTGTAGCTAGTGCTAGTGTTAGAGAAGGAAAAGGTAAAATTAAACAATAAATATCAAGGAATTGTCAAAGTCAATGGTGCTCCAATTGAATTAGTGAATCCAGCCCCATTAAGATAAAAAGCTCTTGAACCTTTATTGTTGTTAGGATAAGTTAGAACAGGCAGACTTGATATCAGAGTCACTGTTAGAGGTGGTGGTACAACTGCTTAGATCTATGCCATTAGATAGGTAGCATAATTTTATAAAATAAAAAGGCAATCAGTAAGGGTATTGTAGCATACTATTAAAAATACATTGATGAAACATAAAAGAGAGAAATTAAAGATCTTCTTTTACAATATGACAGAACACTTTTAGTTGCTGATCCAAGAAGATGTGAACCACGTAAATTTGGTGGTAAGGGTGCTCGTGCCAGAAGATAAAAGAGTTATAGATGACTTAAAATAAAATAAATTTATATTAATGTACATTAAGCAAGAACTTCTAATTAAATGAACTCATCCATTCACTTAACTTTCAAATTTTAATCAATTTTTTCCAAAGTTTGATTAATAAATTAATCACTCCCAAGGCCTAATTCAAGTAAATTAAGGCTAATTATTATTAGTCTTAATCTAATGAAAAACTTACAAAACAAATCTATATTATATTTTATAAATGGATTTATAGATTTTTGAATAATTTGATATTAAATAATTAAAAATTAAAAACTCATTTTATGATTGTTTATTACTAAGAGTTCAATCCTATAAATAAAGATAATCTGATAATTTATATCATTTCTTTTTACCTAATGGATTATAAATAACTTATATCACATTTTTGATATAATACCTCATTTAAATTAAGTCATTCTATTTTTAAAGATTGATTAAAATTAGTGTCATCGAATATTTACAATTATTTTATTTTTTTCTTAAAATCATAATAATTGATTTGAATATAATCTTGCATAAAGAAATAATTGTTTCGCATCTCTAATAATTAAATGAAAAATTACATATTAAGTTAATTTATAATAGTTGAAATACAAAAGAGATTGTTGTGATTTGAAACTATATCAAGATTCATTAAAAATATTGATAATGAATTAGAATTAATATTAATGGATAGTTAATTGAATCAAATTAATAGTTTTTTTTAAAATCTAATAGGTTGAATAAATATTATAATTTATTTTAAACATAATTCAGAATATGAATAAATTAGCATTTTTAGGTTGTCTAGCAATAGCAGGAATAGGTTATTATTTGATTAATGAAAATGATAAAAAGTAAAGTTGTAATAAATTAGAGGACAGAAAAAATGATTGAAAAAGGTTTGTTAATAAAGATACTAAAAGAGCTTTAAAAAGAATATTATCCTGCATGGGAGAGAATGATAGAATATGGAAAACAGTAGTTTTATGTTTAAAATAAAAATGGATAATAAAAGGAAGAATTGAGAAATGTGATTGAATCAAAGTTTCAAAATGTAATTGAAAAAATTGAATAACGAGTATTTATTAAGTATGAAGTATCAAAAGAGGAAGTAAATTACAATTGTAATAATATATATAAAAATGATAATGAAATATTGGGATTAGTGAATTATATAAATTTAGGATTTGAGTAAGCAATAAAATTGGAATTAAATTTACCATAAAATTAAGAATTACCTGATTTTATTAATGAAGATTTAATATTGAAGACTTAAAATAAAATATTGATAAGTAGTGCAAAATTGTTTAATGAGAAAATAAGAGAATATAAAGAAAAGAATAATGGTTAATAAGTGATAAAACATTCATAAGCATTTTAATAGATATTATAAGATCTAAAATGGGAGAGTAAAAAGTATAATAATAATAAATTTAGAGAGGAGATTTTGAAATAAAATGGATTTGGATAACAAGAGGAAGCAAGTTCAAAATAATATTTAGATGCAATAAAGGTCTATTCACAGAATAGATAATTTAAATAGAAATTAGTATAATTAAATGAAAGATATGATAAAATAATGAGTGAAATTTTAGATAAAGGACCAATAAAAGAAGATGAAATAGATTAAATGTTAAAATATTGAATAATATAATTTTTGATAATTTATCACAAAGTTACTTCTGGGATTTCACCAATAATGACTGTTTTATCATTACTAGCTGATGCTATCAATTTATCTTTTGGACTAAAGGCAGTTTCATTAACCTATAAAAATAAAAATATTAATTACAGTTCCTTAATGACCTCCTAATTTATGAATAACTTTTTTTGAATTAAAATCCCATATATAAACATTTTTATCAGCAGATCCAGCAGAGATATATTAATCATCATGACTCCATGAACATCTTAATAAATTCTTTTCAGCAGTGTTTGCAGTTGCTCCAGTGAATACTCTTACTTATCTATTTTTACCTTAAACATAAGGTCTATAAATATAATAAATAATAATTTACCTAATATCAAAAGTTCTAACTGTCATATCCATAGAATTACTCAATAAATAAGAATTATCATTGCTAATTGCTAATCCTGTTACTGTATCTGTATGATTATCTAATGTATATTCCATCTCTTATTTTCTAACATCATAACATCTAATTATATTGTCTAAAGATCCAGTATATAATCTGTCTCCATTTTCAGTGAAACAAACACTAGTAATAGGATACTGAAAATTATTTAAAATAAGAGAATTACTTTGCCTTAAATTTCAAAAGCTAATTTCCTTGTTCTTAAGTCCCATAATTTAGTATAACCTTCATCTCCTCCAGAAGCCAATAAATCTTATCCTCTTTTTTAAGGATAACAACAATTAACATAACTTTAATGTCCTTTTAATTTTTTTAATGGTAAATATGTTTCCATATCCCATATTTAAATAGTCTTATCTGCTGATGCTGTAAATAATCTTACTCCATCATATTACCATGCAACATCAAGTATTGCATTTTAATGACTTCCCAATATTCCTATATTTGTACAATTATTATAAATGTCCCAAATCAATATTTTCTTATCAAATCCTGCTGTTATAAGATAATCACCATTTGGAGAGTATTTTACACAATATACTTCACTCTAATGTCCTTTTATATATATTCTATATACCTGTTAATTACATATGTGCTGATTATAATGTATACTTTTTAGAGGGCTCTACTTCCATAGAATACTCAGATGATAATACTAAATCTTATTTGTGTTATTTCTATAATAAATGCGGAGTGTGCATCTACAAAACTTAACTAGATGTGTAATCCTTAAATTCTGTAAATTTAGGAACACTTGGTATTATCTTATTTCCGTAAGAC